GGAGCAGCTATGGGCGTACTACGCCAACACGCTGTCTCCCTCTCTTTCTCTCTCTCCCTCCCCCTCTCTCGCTCTTGCTCTCTCACTATCACATACTATTACAGAGAGGTCATCGTTGGTGATGGAGCAGCTATGGGCGTACTACGCCAACACGCTGTCTCCCTCTCTTTCTCTCTCTCCCTCCTCCCCTCTCTCTCTCTCTCTCCCTCCCCCTCTCTCGTTGGCGTAGTACGCCCATAGCTGCTCCATCACCAACGATGACCTCTCTGTAATAGTATGTGATAGTGAGAGAGCAAGAGCACGCTGTCCAGCCCTAAGATACCCGAGCACTTTCTGAAGACTTATCACTCACAGCTGATCCAGCTGCGATGGGACCTGTTCCTACCGTCCGCACAAGATTTCGAGACCATGCTCAAGGTAGGTGGTAGGTTGTATACCTATAACCACAGCTATTGTAGATACATATGTGCATCTCTCTCTCTCTCCCTCTCTCTCTCTNTCTCTACTCTCTCTACGTCTCTCTCTCTCTCTCTCTCTCTCTCTCTCTCTCTCTCTCTCTCTCTCTCTCTCTCTCTCTCTCTCTCTCTCTCTCTCTCTCTCTCTCTCTCTCTCTCTCTCTCCTCTCTCTCTCTCTCTCTCTCTCTCTCTCTCTCTCTCTCTCTCTCTCTCTCTCTCTCTCTCTCTCTCTCTCTCTCTCTCTCTCCCTCCATTTCTCTCTATCTTTTCTATCTATCTATTTATCTATCTTCATCAGTAGATATATCTCTATCTTAAATTTTATTCCTATCTATATCTATATCTTTAACTCTATATATCTCTATCTCCATGTCTCTATCTTTCTATCTCTCTATCTCTATCTCTCTTTATCTCTCCATCTCTAGGTGAGAGAGACTCACCCGCCGGCGTCCACCTGCTTCCTTGGTCAGATCGCCGTGCGGTTGCCGTGGCAACGCATCATGGAGTTGGCCGACGAGCGTCTGCTGGAGCCGGAGGAGGCCGGTCGTCTGCAGAGGGCCGTGCTGTGTCTGCTCGTGCAGGTCGGTGGTGCTGCCGTCGCCATGGCAACGTGTGCGCGAGGTGCGCCGGCGCCGGACGCGGTTGCCGTGACAACGCTATCATCAACTTTATATTGATGGCATGACACAACATTAGATGTGTAAATTTTATATGTGAAAATGTGAAATGTATGTACACTGTATGTCTAAATGTTTCCTATTATGGTTCGTACGTGTGTGCGTGCGTACGTGGCATACGTGTGTGCGTGCGTACGTGGCGTACGTGTGTGCGTGCGTTCGTGGCGTACGTGTGTGCGTGCGTACGTGGCGTACGTGTGTGCGTGCGTACGTGGCGTGCGTGTGTGCGTGCGTATGTGGCGTACGTGTGTGCGTGCGTGCGTGCGTGTTTCCGTACGTAACGTGACGTGTGTGCGTGCGTGCGTATGTGCGTGAGTGCGTCCGTACGTGCGTGCATACATTGCGTGCGGGCGTGCGTGCGTATGTGCGTGAGTGCGTCCGTGCGTGCGTATGTGCGTGAGTGCGTCCGTGCGTGCGTGCATACATGGCGTGCGTGCGTGCGTACGTATGTGCGTGAGTGCGTCCGTGCGTGCGTGCATACATGGCGTGCGTGCGTGCGTGTGACGCGTGCCCTTCACCACCTTGCAGCTGGGCTGTGACTCACAGCTGGCCGAGTCTACGTGCGACCTCGCCCCTCTCCTGCAGCAGGCAGCTGGCTTCAGCTGGCATCACCTGGATGCGGAGAGCTTCACGGAGGCTGCGCAGTGGTACAGGACCAACGGCGACCCCAGCTGTTTGATCGCCGATACCAAGGACCGGTCGGCTGGCCTGCTGAGGCGAGTGTGGGTGTGTGTGTGTGTGCGTGTGTGTGTGTGTGTGTGTGTGCGTGTGTGTGGGCGTGTGTGTGTGTGTTGGTGTGTGTGTGTGCGTGTGTGTGTGTGTGTGTGTGTGTGTGTGTGTGTGTGTG